TTTTACTTGCCTTCCTTTTCAATGTTAGGTTGCAAGGTAGGATCCCAAATATATTTAAAAAGTCTTACTGAAAGGAGTGGTGGCAAGTCAGACCAGAATTGACACAAGCATCTTCTCCTTTACCAGGCATTTTTAACATTTGGGAAGTATGTGTTTCATCTATCCTGGAAAACTGCACTGAAGCATCTGCTGAATTTATTAAAACACACAGATTCGTAGGTTGTGAGGCCAGAAAATGCCATTATGATAATCTAGGCTGATTTGCTATATAATTAATTCTTGTCTCACTATGTCTTTTAGAGAAAACAAGATTCTATTTTAATTTAAGATTTGCCAGTAGCAGAGAACACGGCATAACCTGTAGTAAATTATTGCAATAGCAAATTACCCTCATGTAAAAATAAGCCATAATATTTTAAAATGTGAATTTCTCCAATTTCTAGCCCCTAGATCCCATTATTCCTTTGTCACATGGATTGAAGAGCCCTCTGTTGCCAAATTCCATTTTCTGCACAGGTACTCAGAGATTGTAGTCGAATCACCCTTTAACCTCTACCTATTAGACAGTCTGAATTTGAATGTTCTTCACTATAGGACATGCATTCCAGTCATTTAATTATATTCCATTTTCTCATTCTTGAACCCTTGGTTTAACAATTGAACTGTGGATATCGGAAGCTGCTGTAGCTTTTCATTGCCCAAGCCAGAGATGCTATTGTCTGTCTGTTCCTGCTTAGGATTCACCTTGGTTTTACACCCGAGGATTATTTCTAGCCTTTTGTTTATAGTGCAGAGAGTTCTGGTGTACCTGATTATACATCAAATTCTTGATGTCTAAATGTGGCTGTCAATTATACCTAAAGTCAGTTATGTGAACACTTGTATTTCTTCCTTAAATGCAGGTGCTTGTTAAATTTCTCAGACTAGGCTGTGTCTATTTCTTTTTTGTTGTTGTTTTTTGTTTGGTTGGTTTTTAAGGAAAATAATGTAAAAAAATAAACACTTGAATAATAGAGATTCAGTTTAGGGTGGGTCTGTGTTCTGTCCCGGTTAGAAGGCAGAACTGTGTCCCACCTCCCTTATCCCTCAGTTTCCCAGATAGAGAGGTAAATAAGGAAGGCAGGGGTAATGAAAACCTTGCATCAAATTGAAGATTAACAAAATGAAATATATTATTTAACAGGGATCAGAAAGGAAGAAGGGAAGGGGCTTAACAGGGTACAGAAAGGAAGAAGGGTAGGGGTTTAACAGGGAAGGGGGGTTGTAGGAACAACAAGGCAAGGAAGATTAAACTTCCAAATATACAAAACCCAAATGCTGTGCTGAGGCTCCCCGGTGCTGGATCTCGCTGGATTGAGGTGGATTGAAGCTGGATGCACAATCCTTGGACGTGGATGGAGGCAGGGAAGAGTCTATAGATCAGGCCCAGGTCTCCAAGATGGCCACGGCCACGTGTAGCACAGGGAGCAGCAGAGCAGCGTGTGCCCAGGTGCAAGGTCAAAGGAGCAAGAGGAAAAGAGAAGAGGAAGAGCAAGAGAGAGAGGCGTGCCTTTCTCCCCTTTTTATAGACCTTGGCAGGAAGTCCGGAAGACAGGAAAAGGGGAGTGGGAATAGGACAGGTGTACGCCCCTTTCATTCAGGCTTATACCTGGTTTAGGGTTTCAGATCTCCACCCACCAGGGGCAGCAGGTTTCAAACCATTACAGTCTGTTTCTTTAAAACAACTGAATTCAGAACTTTTGTATCTATTCAACATCCTTCTCCTCTCTTCCTCAAGTCTTCCTTTGTGCTTGGTTTTTTTGTCCTTTCTTTCAAACTTGCTCTCAGATTCTCCATTGGTAACTCATTCTGGGTTATAACACTTTCTGGGTTACAACTAAGTCCATGTATTTTTCTCTAGATCCTTTAAAAGTCTTCTGTCTCAAGGATTCTCCAGCTGTGCTACTGGTATGACTAAAAAAAATACAAGGCTGCAGCAAACCCCAAGTAAACCCAGAAGAAATGGGAATTGTTACTCAAGTATTAAATATGTGAAAGGGGGAGGTGTAACCTCTGTGTGGCTCAGTTAAGAGTTGGAAGCTACTTATGTGTATGTGATCCCATTTTGTCTACTAGCAACCTGCAGACATTGCTGATAGCAGATCACCGTGCCATAGCTAGATACAATCCAGCACCAGCCACCCGTCATATGTAGGCTGTTCTGCTACCATTTTGCTCCTCTGCTGTGGAAAGGCTGGGCCAAGATACAGTTTAGAGGAGTGTTCATTTGAGCAACTGTTAATAGTATCCCACAAGGGCAGTTCTCCTATGTTAGAATCATTAAGGTAACAGTCCATTCAGGCCTGACATTCTCCAAAGCAACTCCATACTGGAGTGAAACCAAAAATGCAGCATTGTGCTGCAGTTGTATCAGTCAGGGGGTTCCTTATATATGTGCTGGCAGAAGGACTCTGCCCAGACGATCCCATTTCCAATTACCCTCTTTCCCAGGCTGTCCCTGCCGCGGGACAAGGACTAGACTGTGCACAACCTACTGTGCGTGTAGATTCTCTACAAACATGAGAAAACCCCTAGTGGGCCTGAGGAAGTCAATCTGTTTAGCTAGTATTCTGCTTCCAGCATTGGCAGGTGCAAGTGCTGTTTAAGGGGAGCACATGAGCATGGATGCTATCAGTGGTGTATTCCCCTTATACTCCCACAGCATCCACTGTTATTGGATTAGGATTACTGGAAGGTCTGTCCCCCTTCCTTTTGCCTTCAATATCAATTTGTGGACTTGCTGTCCATTCATCTTTCTGGTTCTTTTTGAGCCTCCTGATGCTTTGTGTTTCCACAACCTCCTGTGGGAGCAAGTTCCAGATGTTCACTATCCTCTGTGTAAATAATAACTTATAAAAATCCATTTTAAACTGGTATCCTACAAGTTCCAGCAAGTGCTTCTAGTTCTATTATTGCTGGATTTGGCAAAGAGCAGTTCTACATTAATCTTCTCCATTTTATGTAAGCTTCAATCATATTTTTTCTCCAAATATAAGAGCCTTGGCCTTTTCAGGCTATTCTCATAAAGTATCCTGCTCCATCCTCTTAATTATTCTATGTATTTTTCTCTATACATTCATCTCCTCTGTTTCCTTGAGATTCAGAGACAGGACTGCACGCAGTACTCGGGACTAGCGTGTGGCTGAGGTGCAACTCGTTGCCTGGCAAGAGTGTGAGACTGCAGTGCACAGCCGTGCTGATGCACTGGAAGGAGGTGTATGTTCTGTCTAGTGAAAGCTTTTGACATAGTTAATCTGTAGAACGAAACCACTACAACCCCACAAATTGAAAATATATTTTATTCCTGTTCCAGTTATTAACGGACTTGAAGTTTTTGAAGTCTGTGCAAGGGCAGAGCACGTTATCGGGAATTGGAGCAGAACGAGCTACTGTGGGTCAATACTGTCCTCTGCTGGGAGGAACTACAGCTTTGTGCCGTGACTTCAAATGGGAATTAGCAGCTGGCTTCTCCTTTCACTCTGATGTAGGGTGTTTTTGCCTTTGCAACAGGAAAACCTGATGCTGTGCTGGCTGCACTGGGGAAATTCTCCTTTAATGCTTAGCAAAAGCTGGAAATTCTTCTCTTGCTATGAATGTGTTCAATTGCGATGCCATTAATTTTTCATCCTGAGGTCACCTACTTTGGAAGCTTTTCCTTCGTTCTCTCTCATTTGCCTTTTAATATGTACTGCATACTCGTTTCACTGACTTTCCTTTTCTATTTGTAGAATTAACAATGCATATCTCCTTTCATTTCTGTTTTGGTAGTAAATCGATGATAACTCATCCTGCTTGCATTTTGAAAGTAGAAATCAAATGTGTGTGTATGTACATGTAATAGACACAAAGTATTTTAAAATAATTCCTTAGAAGAAATTAGTGTCTTCAGTAGTGTCGCAGAGCATGAAACCAATTAAAATTGTTGTAGGTGCAGAAATGCTTTTGCTCGCTGCATGTGCCGGCTCTGGGTGTAGGAAGCACAGATGGTCGTTGAGAGGAAGTACCATTTACATATATTTCAGTGTTGTGCCTTCTCCAGTCTCTGCCTCTGTAAGAGTGGCACAGGGCAGAGAGGAGTCCTCTTTGCAAGAAATTAATTCTGTATCTGTGAGAAAGAGAAGGATGGGAGGTCTGGACTCCTGAGCAAGCCAGGCACGCTCAGGAGTGATTGCCTGTTTGGGACTCTTGGCTAATTTCCATCCATGTAGCAACACAGGGTGCACAGTTCTGGTCCTTAACCCAGAGAAAGAGTAAGAGTCCAGACGCTGAATGTGTACAGCCTTTTATGTGTTAGCACAGAGAGCGTAGGTCTCGTGAAGTGAGGCTAAGCTAGGTAGATATCCATAGCAAACTTGTGCCTGTAGTGATCTCAGACTTCTTGGTCAGAGAAATTTTAAATCTTTGTTTATATTTTCTTATACCTCTTTAGTAGCCACAGGGCAATCACCAACAGTTCACACCAAATTGCTTAAATATTTTTGCATTTCTCTCCTAGTAGTTAAGTGGGCGTATGAGAATAATAGAGAAATGACAGTGGTGGTAGAGAGTTCCCTGCTGCGGCCAGCAGAGATGGACATGGAAGTTACACTTTATGTGTTTTGTATGGGATTCATGCAAATATAACAGCATGGTACCAGACACACACTGTATGTTTATGTATAAAATATTTTACATCAGAGTGGGCCTGTTGTAGAGTTAATTGTTCTCACTGTGTGTCAGTTAAATGTTCTCCTCTGCCTTCTTGTCTGATCTGTAGTCATTGCGAAGTGCCCACCGCTGTCACTTCTGTACACACTCCTGGTTGTGCTCTCTCCTTCTGTCGTCATGTCGGACTCTTGCATGGTTTCCTTTCTGCTCCTCACTGCCTTTTGGGAGAAGTCTATCTCCCATTGCTGAAAGTAATTGGGGTATTTGTACTCTATGCAGGATTGATGTATGATATTTTTCCTTGTGTCTGGCAGGTTGTTTATAAGAATAACGACATTCGTCTGGAGCTGTCTCGCTTGGCACGGATTGGTGATACTAAGATGAAGATCTACGGGGAAGTGAAATTTGTATGTGAGAATGTGGCTACACTGGATCCCATCAGCTTTGAGACACCTGAGGCCTATATTAGTCTGCCTAAATGGAATACCAAAAGGATGGGCTCCATTTCATTTGACTTCCGAACCACTGAACCCAATGGACTGATCCTTTTCACACATGGCAAGCCTCAGGAGAGGAAAGATGCCAGGAGCCAGAAAAATACAAAGGTAGACTTCTTTGCAGTTGAGCTTCTAGATGGGAACCTCTACTTGCTGCTGGACATGGGCTCTGGGACCATTAAAGTCAAGGCCACTCAGAAGAAAGCCAATGATGGAGAGTGGTATCATGTGGATATTCAACGAGATGGAAGATCAGGTAGAGTGATGACTTTTTCTTGAGTAAATAAATCTTTCAAATCCAGATTGAGGGCTGTGTATTAATTCTTGGAACCTTCAAAACCTGTTAGATATGAGTCACCTTCTTTCAAAAACTTAATGTTACTCCAGCGATGTTTTTCCAGCAAAGCAAAGCTGTGAATGGCTAGGTTTTCATTAAATGTTTACTGTGAACTTGGGATGGCACTTCAGTGGCATTAATATTTTATTCACAGTCTTCAGATATTCTGCACCTACCTTGGCAATTACATGCATAATTAAAGTGATGGCTCTGTCGTAGGCCATGGTAAGGTTTAAGATCTTTCAGAACCATTATTATTTAGTTCTTGGTTTGATAAATTCTCACTGATCTACTTCGAGTTTCTGTTCAAAAAGAAACTTAGTAGAAACCTGATTCCTGCAACCTAATATTACTATCATCTCCTGGATCTTGTGTCTTAAAGGAGTAGGGATGTGGGATCTTGTAATGAGGAAAATAAAAGTAATGGACATAACCATTGACAAAATTATAGTGACAAATAAGCATCTTCATCCTGTTCTGTTTCCTGTAGTATCTTGTAGTTTTCAGTTAGATTTCTTTAATCTCTTTTGAATGGCGAATTTTGGTCATAATATCCGAGTCAGCATTCAGTGGATGTTCTTTTTTTTCTTGCAGGTTCTCATTTTCAAAAATGTGTTTTAGTTTATTTTTTTAACAATATGCCTACTGTGCAATTACCAAGGGATATTTTGTTCATTTCCAGTGATGGATATCAAGCTAATATTTTCATCATGTGCTCCGAAATAGTGTAACAAAATGAAATGATTGAATATGGTAACTTCATCTTGAAAATATGTGAACAATTGTACTTGATTTTTTCCTGAACCATTGGGATCTCAAAGCCTGGCCATATATCCCTTCAAAGTGAATTTTGCTTACATTTGCAAGTGGATTTGGGATTTGTCTGGTGGTCTCCAGATGATAGCTTTAGGTCCCTAATTTTATGTTTGCAGTTGCTGAATGCCATCAGTAGAGAGAACGCAGTGCTAGAATTTGCTTCCCTTGAGTTTTCAAAAGAGCTGACTTTTAGATACTGTGCAAAGCCTTGCTGTTTGAACAGATCTTTGCCTCAAGCTAGTGTTTTTCTTTGATGATGTGAAGAGTTTCTTTGTATTTGGCATGGTGCTCTACTAGGACTTAATATGTGTGGTTATATATTGCTATATCCAAAAGACAATGATAGGAACATTTTATAAAGCAAGCCATAAATAAATAAATGGGGCTTTGATTTCCTTAGAATTGTGAAAATTTAATTAACTTCCAGGGGTAAACTCAATTAGTTGCATTCAGTACTGCCTTCAGTTTGGCTTGCCTACTTGGGGACTGTCTGGTCCCTGGAGAGGCAGCTGCAGCAGGAGAAGAAGCAGAAATTACACTAAGGTTTCTGGTAAGAAAGTTTGTAAGAACCTCAGAAGAGGGACACGCATTCATTTGGCCTAGGAGGGGGTGGCAGACAGTATTGCTGCTTGGTGGACTGACTTGTTTGTTGCTTGGCTGGGAGGTTTGTGATGTTCTGGACACTCATTAGCGGTAACGGATTTTGAATTAAAAGTGCTTTGTTCAACAAGAATGAACACATTTCATATTTTTAGATTCTTGTCTTTTCTCTTTTTTCCCTTTTTTCTTTCTTTCTTTTTTTTTTTTTTTTAATTGTGTTTTCTGCTGACGACGAGTGCTGTGTTAATGGCCCTAGTGACTGATGTCTTCTCTCCCCAGAAAACCAGGATAGTGGCATTGATTTCTTCACAGCATACCTCTAGCAAGCATCAATCACTCTTATCCAGTGGCACTTTTGGTTGCTGTGGAAAGGAAGTTCAGGATCTCTTCTTTATTTGAACTTTTCTGAACCTAATTTTTCTTCCATGTGCAGACCAGTGAATGGTTACACCTTGGAGAATTTATTTATTTTTTAAATGTGGATGCCTGTCATCTAGAAACTGAAAAGAAATAATGAATTTACCTACTGTAAGCTACAAACCAGCCATTTGGGTTTAATGAGCTAGTCACAGAGATGTTGTGATTCTCATTACTAAAGCAGAGAGGTCTCTATTAGGTATCATCTCTACCCTCTTCTTCCTGTTTCTCTACCAGTCCAAAACTTCAAGCTCTGCTGAGCTTAATAAAATAGCCTAAACCCCCAAATATTCACTACTGCAGTTTACTAAAGCAGGAGTACAAATGCTGAGGAAGCATGGCAGTTGTGCTCAAATAACCTCTGGCACCCCATGTCCCTATAGCCTTTGTGTATGCTTTAGCCTGTGTTAGCTGCCAGAGCAACAAAAGCTGTTTTTTCTCTCTACTCTGGACAGAACCTGACAGCATGGACGTGCACACCTAGCATCTCGTGACCTTTCTGTCTTTGCAGAAAGCTTCTACAAAGTATCCACAAAACTTGTCACAGTTCCTAGCCGGACAATATTTCTGGTGGATTTTCTGCTACAAAGCATACACCCTACCTACTCAGACACTAAAAATCTTACTGGGAGATTTGGTCTGTGGTTGCATCAGTGCACTGCTTTGTATACCAGCTCAGCCCTCAGTAACTGGGGTCTTTTGGTCTGTTCTTTAGTCCTGCACGAAATGCCTACAGAACCAGAAGGGAAATGCTTAGATGTTTCTGAGTTCTCAAGATGGGACTTGATCTATCTGAACAGGGTACAAACATGGGATTTGGAATGGAAAAGAAAAAAGAATGTCAGCTCATGTGACTTCTCCTTCCTAGGGTGACTTCAGAATTTCTTATCTTAGCAGCTTCATATTAGAAGTGCAGTGCATCTGAGCTAGTACCATTTCCTCATAGAAATAATTGCAGGATACAAAACACTGGCAGAAAGTTTGGGCTGCTCTCTAGCCTATTTCCTTTCATCGTCTCACGCTCTTTCTCTAGGTTTTACATTTCTTCTTGGTAGACATCATTTCTTACGTTTTGGGGGGTTTCTTTACCTCTGTGGCTTTTGCAGATGGTGTTTGTTTTCTCCACAGTAGCAGTGGTCTGGAGCTTAGCCCTCCAGTATTTTGGTTTGTTCTAGTCTTTTGAGTAATATGCACTCCACATGTTGCTTTTGAGGAGTAACAGCACAGATGCTGGAAGGGGGGCTGTGATCCCGTGGCTCTGTGACGTTTTGCCTTTATGACTGTAGATGTATTGTAACATCTTCTCTTTTTTTACTTTGTAGAAGGGAAAATATCTGCAGTGCTGCAGCCTGTTTTTCAGCACAATTTCAAAACGATTAATCAAATAATTGTGGTTCTCTTTGAGCCTTTAATTTGTAACACCTCTTGCTTCTGCTTGTAGCATAGTGCCTCTGACATTATTCCTAAATTATTACTGAACTTGGCACACATGAAACACCTTGTGTCTGTGTCATACGTGCTGTTCTCTAAGGAGACACCCATTACAAGTGAAGAAAAAGCGTGTGTACACAACTGCACTTTCTCACAGAGAAACAAAATACTCTGTTAACTACACTTCCACCTTATCTTAGGGGTGTATGATAAAAATGCAATGATGTGGAATTAATCTTGAAGCTTGGATAGTTGTCTCTGAGGACAGACTATCTTAATGACAAGGCAATTGGATGTGATGATTTATAGCTAGGGAGAATTGTTGATTTTTAGCTGAGTGTCTGGTGGGCAGATGTCCCTATCACAAAAGCTGTTGAATGCTCTTCTCCTGAGGAGTATGCTGCTCTGGGATGTGAGACCTGCATTATGTTCCCTGTTTTTCTTTGGATGCACTGTCTGACCTTAAACAAGTCACTTTGCTCCTCTGCACCTGTTTCATGTGTTATAATTATGTTTTTGTATTATATGCTCTGAATATTTTAGGTGCTGGGACAATTTTTTGAAACATATAGGAACAGCCTCAGTGCAGTATGCCCACATCTTGATTGGAGCATACAGAAGCCACTACACTTTTAATAACTGTTCTTCAGAAACAACCTTTATCTTTTTCTGCCTCAGTTTTCCTGTTTGTAAAATGAAAGTCAGGATACTTTCTTTGTAAAACCATAGAATAATTTATTTGGGACTGAACTTCTGGAGATTTCTAGTCCAAACTCTGCTGAGATCTAGGCTTTCTTCAGTGTTGTGTCCAGTTGTGTTTTGAATGCCTTCAGGATGGTGATTCTACAACTTCTCTAGGTTTCTGTTGCCATGTTTGGCCCCCCTCATGCTGAAAAATGTCCCTTTTTATGGAGTTGAAGTTTCCCTTGCTGCAACCTGTGATCAGTGTCTCTTGTCACTGCAAGTATACATTTCTGAATCATGTTCACATTGTTGTACACCATATCCCCAGGTGAACTGCTGGAGTCTAATCCCTCAGCCCTGAATCAGGGTTGACATATAGATGATGTCCACAACCAGGCAGGAATGACCTTCCTGATTGGTTTTCACCCAATGCCTGGCCAGCATTGAGTGGAAAGCAATTAGGAGATCACCACCAAGTGCCCATGCCTTCAGCATTAACATCCGGTGTCCTGCTTCTAAGTTAACAGCATAAAAGCTGCCTCTGCCGCCCGTGGGTTGGGAGGGAGCTTACCTATGTAGTGAATAGGATTTCCAGCTCCTGGAGGGCCCTCCCAGCTGCCCAAGAGCTCCCAGCAATGGCAGAACCTCAGTATGGCCAGGAGCAGAGGGAGGAATATATCTGTCTATAAGAACAGCACCATTTTATGGTCATGGCCACACAATTGGAACTGGACTTGTCAACCAGTTCCTCGGTTGATTCTCTCCTGTCTTCACTGTGTCTTGCACCATGGGTGAATATATCAACCTTTTTATTCTTCCAGTGGCTGGCCACCTCATATCCTACTATATTTGGAATTGGAGGAAGGGATCTGGCTTGTGTGCTGTCTGTTAATGATAATATCCTTCCTATCAGGTATGCGGTCAGCAAAAGACCCGGTCCTTTTCTGCAGAGTTGCTCCTTAGCCAGCTGGTCTCCAGCCTGTACTTATGTGTAAGGTTATTCTGCCCCAGGCATAGGACTTTGTATTTATTGTTGTTGATTTACATAATATCTATCACTCCTTTGCTCCGTCTTGTAAAGGTTTCTCTGAATGGTGAACCTGTGCTTCCTCCAGTGCATCAACCATTCTCCTCAACTTGATGTCATTTCAAACTTGATGAGAGTCTCTTTAGTTCCATCATCCAGGTCCAGCCTTGGAGATACTGTTGAAGTGTTTTCTGGAAGAGCTATGTAGTATGAATTAATATGCTTTTAGTTACCTTTTTCCTCTCCTGTCCTGATACCGTCCAACTCCTGCATGTTCTCAGTTAGTCTTTGCTTTGTTGGATGAATACCATTGAATAATGCTCAGTTTTTACGTGTTATTATTTAGCCATTGCATTGTTATGCTTGTGACCCTATAATGCAAGTTGGATTATAGACACGTGATGATCTGTCACTGGATGGGAGTACTTAGGGCCTGTGGCTCAAGAGGAGAGGGAGGTGCTATCTCTGTTAAAAGTGTATTTGGGTGGGGAGGAATCTTCACTCTTCTGCATTGAACCTTATCCAGATATCGGAAAAAAAATGTGCTCGACTGAGGCTGTAAGTGAAAACGTTGATGTCTCCCCCTCCTTCTCCTGTAGGTACTATTTCGGTGAACAGCAGGCGCACCCCGTTCACCGCCAGCGGGGAGAGTGAGATCCTAGATCTGGAAGGCGACATGTACCTCGGCGGGCTGCCCGAGAACCGGGCGGGGCTGATCCTGCCCACGGAGCTGTGGACAGCAATGCTGAACTACGGCTACGTCGGCTGCATCCGAGACCTCTTCATCGACGGGAGGAGCAAGAACATCCGGCAGCTGGCGGAGGCGCAGAACGCGGCGGGAGTCAAGTCCTCCTGCTCCCGCCTGGGCACCAAGCAGTGCGACAGCTACCCCTGCAAGAACAATGCCCTCTGCAAGGACGGCTGGAACCGCTTCGTCTGTGACTGTACTGGAACTGGCTACTGGGGCAGGACGTGTGAGCGAGGTAAGCCCAGGCTCTCTGCATTCATTCACAGGCAGGTACAGGCGTGCAGGAGAGCTAGAACAAAACCCAGTGTTTCCAGGAGGCTTTGCTCTTGCTAGACTTCCCAATGCTAAGTTCCAGTCCCCACACAAGGAAAGCATTCTTCTCTGATCACTTCCATCCGGTCTTTCCCATCTTCATTTAATGAGCTCACGGGCTTCATCTGCCACTTCACTCCCTAAGACTTCTGAAGACCTTGTCTTCAGGTTCCAGAGATGTGTCATCTAAGTATGGTCTGTCTCCTACGGCAGAAAATATTCATGTATGTGAGAAGTCTCAGGCAAATTACTGGAAATAGAAACAAATGTGAACTTGAGTTATGGAGGTTTTTCTTGCATGGGACAGATGCATCCCAGTTCTGCCTAGTCTTCCTCTTTTTTTGCATGGTAGGATTTTGTTGATACCTCTTTATGGGTAAAGCCAGTTAACAAGGTAGTGTTCATTGCAACATGCCTCTAAGTTCACCTCTGGTAAGGCTAATCTGTAGGAGATGGTGGGAGATTCTCTGCTTCTTATTCTTACTCGTTCTGACTGGTGATTTAAAGATATGATTGGAGATGTGAGACACAAATAATGCTGTTACAGGCAGGCAAAATGTGTGTTCTAGGCCACATGGAAAGGAATTTACTAATGTAAGATATCTGAGCTATATATTTCTCAAATACCAAGTGGTTTCGTTAGTTGCTGCTATCCTTATTGTGCTGGTGTTACCGTCAAAATGAGGTAGATGAGTGTTGGTTTTTTTTTGGTTTTTTACAACGATGAGGTTAAGATGTCCCTAAAGAGTGTTTTCTTATATTGGAACAAACCTTGCTGTTAATATCTAGCCGTTAGGACTGCATTCTGGCTGAGCTCTGTGCACAGTACACCTAAGAATTAACTGTAAACAATTAGCAGAGTTTTAGGGCTTTCTTCCCCTTCTTTCTATTATCTTACCTCACACCATTGGGATTAATAATGATAGTTAATAACTAATGGTTAAAGTATGTGTCTTAGAATTGGAAATCTGGATATTTTTGAGCTTCTGCCATAAGTACTAGAGAAGCTCTTTTCCCACTCAGTGTCCTCCTTATGCATTTTTTAAATATTGATCATAGTACCATGCCACTTACAAGAAGGAATGTGAGAGTCAGGTACAATGCAAAAAATATAAGGCAGAATTGAGATTTGCAATTCATTCACTTTCCAGAGATCATGTTCTTTGCAGGAAGTTTTTGTTATTGACCAAAAATCTTCCAGTAGATCAGATGGTTTTTTTTTTTTTTGTTTTACTGCACAATATCTATGATCATTCATAAGGCTTTTCACAACCAGCCAGTTCATAGCATGCTGCCCTAAACAGCAGTTAATTGCCAGTGGTCCTTAAACCAGCTGAAGCATCAACACTGCCATATTGGTGGTGTTGGCTTTTACTCCTTTTATTATGAATGAAAAGAAATCAGTAGGTTAAGGGCATGTAAGCATTTTAATTTAGGAGAAATGAATCTCAAGACTGGCCTGAGGTCCATAACCTGGCCATGCTCTGGCCAGCATCAGTATGAATAAGAAAGATACGTGTGTGAATGCATGTCTACAAGTGTAGGAACTTGGGGTCCTAATAAATACGTGTTAGAATCAGAGCGTATTTAAGGTTAACAAAACAATGATTTTGTAGTTTAGGACAATATAAAAGATGGATGCAGAGGTCCTAATCCTGAGAAACTAATTTTGTCTATAACTAGAAACAAGAGACCTCTTACTGGTTTAGGCCTAGTGTCAGGCCAAACATGGCTTTCATGCCTGAGGTTCCTTGGCAACGCAAGAAGCAGCTCACAGGGAATAAATATTTGTAGACTGGATACATTAAAATATTTGTGAAGATTGAAGTGTATTTGACTCCACAACGTCTACTGTGGTGTGGTTGTACAGCAGCCTTGTACTGTTTTGATACCACTACTTGATACCAGACAACTGCACTAGTGCACAGTGATTTCTGCCTCCATGAACAAAAGTATTGCAGGCTACCACTGATATTTTTCATTCTCCTAGTCTTACACTCAAGGATTATTGCAAGTCCTGACTTCCACTGCCCTGTGATCCAAGTAGTGTTGGAAGAAGAAAATTTGAGATGGAGACTGGGAAGGGAATCGAAGTGAGAGAAGTTGCTGTGCTGCAGTGGCGCTTCTGCCTGGTGACTGAAGAGCTGCCACAGGACCTGGCAAAGTCAGGCTGGTGCATAAGGGGAGGACTGGTGGAGGAGCAGGCTAGCTCTTTTCATAAGAGACAGCTACTGACCCCCTTTCCAGCTGGCCATCTGGTACCTGAGAAGGCCGGTCTCACTTGCTTTATTCAGTCCTTTGACTTCTGTCCTGGTAAAAAGAGAGGAGTGTAACTGTTGGAAGGGATTTGCAGCCCAAGATGCAGGATAAGAGGGTTAAGGTCACGGGGGCCTAGAATAAAGCATATTCTATGCCTGTTTGCTACCAGGAAAATCACTCTATCACAAAGAAAAACACATACTTAACATTTAGTTAAAGTACTAAAAATACAAAAGGCATATGTATTCAGGGAGAGAAATGGATGAGTCATTTGTTGTTAATGGTAAAGTCTATCTCCCACTTTCCATGTATAGCACTTCTACATTTATAATAATACATTATAATTTATTTCTCATACATTTTATACTTTGCCATATGAGAGACTGCTATGCTTATAAAAGGGACTCAAAAAGGAAATGGATTGTCATACTCGGAAAACAGGTTTGGGTTCCTCTTACTCACGTTTAAAACAATACAAAACCACAATTTTCAATATATCACCAGTATATAAAGCCTGAGGGAGTTTGTTCTGTCAGGGAAGTGACACGTCTGTATATTGACCAAGTTACACTGGATGCAACATAGACTTGCAGTGGTCTGCTCAGGCAGTACTGCTGTAGAGATGGAGAAATCTCACTGGCTGCACTGTGATAAAGCATGGAACAGAGAACTGCTGCCAAGGCCTCACATTCGTTCTTACAATTCCAGTATCGGTTGCTCAGTATTGGCAGCGATAAACAGACAAAGGTGTTTTCAGTCTTAAAGTGCTATAGCTTCTAAGGGTAATGTGGTCCCTCCTTGGGGTAACTAAAACTGCATAGAAGAGATGGGGTGAGACAGCAATGAGCAGTTCATGTCTGATATGGCTCACATCTAAGAGTGGGTGTGTCATGGAGTCAAAGTTCTGGTAGGACTGCTCCGGTTAATTCAGTAACTGCATATTTTTCCTGTACTAGCTAGGAAAGAATATTCTTGGAAGTCCAATCGTGAAGGCTTCTATTAGGTATACTTATATTCACATCCTTGCTGTAGAAACTAGAGTGAATGAACCTCAGTGTTGGATCCTCAGAGAGACTGAGACAAAGTACTTCATCTAAACAAGACTCAGTCTTCATAAATTTCACTTCATCTGCTTGTGCGATTGTGTTTCTCTCCAGCTGTGTAGTCAGTGGCAGGTGACACAGAAGGTAGCGGAGATGAAAGTGCAATGGGATTCATTGGCTACAAGTGCTCAATGACAGGGTGAAAGGCTAAGCAGAGACAGCAGCAAATGGTGGTAATTAGCTAAAGGTGGTCCTCATTTCGCACCTTCCACCAGAAGCTCTGCTGACCAAGTAACATCAGTTATTTATTTATTTTCTTAAATTTTTGAGCTTCCCATTCTCTATCATCTTTCCATAGTGGTTCTCTACTACTCAGTCTAACTTAGTCTGACAGTGCTTGTAATCCTATGTGAGAAAAGCCTTTTCAAGCCACAGTTAAAGTTAGGGAGCTGCTGTAAACATAGCAGCATTTGGATGAGTTTCGGAAACTTCAGAGATTTCACAGTAGCCACTGGAAGGGAGCAGTGGTGTGGCTGTCCACCATTATAGGAAATAAGAGTCCACTGATTTTGCAAGGGATGTGAATTCTGAGTAGTATTGTGACCTTCTTATTTAGATGCCTTGGGTAAATACTCTAAGACTGAAAAATTAGAAATCTGGCAACAAGGACCTGTGCTAAATGTCCAAGTTGCCTGTGCAATCAGTGGAGGGAGGTAGTTGCTTCTCAGGAGACGTTCAAAGCAATAACATGATCTTGCTTGCCTCCTTTTGTTGATTTGCCTGTCTCCTTTTATTGATTATTTGGCAGTTCTGGTCTGGTAACTCAGTATTGCTGAACTCTAGAAAGTAGCTGCTGTGCAGCAGAGGAATTGACAATGCCAAACTGCCCAGGCTACCAGACTGACAAAAAAGAGGATGTCTTGTTTGGGGTGGAGTCATAAAGCAAAGAGAAAACCTAATAGACAAGGCACGAGCCCTCCTGCAAGATCTGAGTGCCTTGTAATGTGGTAATAATCTCGCCTACCACTGCTCTCTGAGCTCTCCTGTACTCCTGTCACATCTGATTAGAGAATGTGTGGTGGAGATTTAATCACACCAGAGAGACTCCTAAACTGAAACACTGGTTTTGGGTGTCTCTGAAATTAATGGCAAGCTCAGCAAAGTCTGTGATGCAAATTGTGATTGCACGTACATACTGAGGCTTTCTAATGAGTTTGCTGGGTCTTGGGTTGTGGTGTGTCTGGCATTAGGGAAAAAAGACCTTGGAGCTTGTATCCCTGGTAATATTTAGTTATTCTTGCATCAGAGGGTTTTAAAAAGAATAGCAGTACCAGAGAACAGTGTCTGCAGTGCAGCCTCTCTGTAACTTCTTCCAACAGGTCCTCTATTTTGCTAGTTAGTTTGGAAGAAAAGACATAAAATATCTGAAAGCTGATGGGAACGCGTCCCAAAGGTTTTCCAGACATAAGACATAGGAGAGACTTTGAATGAATTGACGGAAAGAATCATCCAATCCAATGGGTAACACACTTCATCCTGTGGGTTGGTGCAGCTACTGTGAAGGATCTTTAGTGGTTTTTAAGTTTTGGTTTCTAATTTGTTTATTAGTATTTGACATGGG